CCGCAACCTCCGCCTCCTGGGTTCAGGCAATTCTCCTGCCTCAGCCTTCTGAGTAGCTGGGATTACAGGCACGCACCACCATGCCCAGCTAATTTTTTTGTATTTTTAGTAGAGACGGGGTTTCACCATGTTGACCAGGATGGTCTCGATCTCTTGACCTCGTGATCCACCCGCCTCAGCCTCCCAAAGTGCTGGGATTACAGGCTTGAGCCACCGCACCCGGCTTCTTTTCTTTTTTTTAAATAAGATGGGGTTTCACCATGATGGCCAGGCTGCTCTTGAACTCCTGACCTCAGGTGATCCACCCACCTCGGCCTCCCAAAGTGCTAGGATTACAGGCGTGAGCCACTGTGCCTGGCCAAGAACAATATTTCTAATAATAACAACTAGCTAAATATAAAGGTTCTGTATCTCTTAATTTGTTCTGCTTAACAGTAGTAATAGCAATTGCAAAATAAAGGTGAATTCATAAACTTTGAATGGAAATCCAGGCTATAGTTGTATTATAGAAGTGATGATAATACCTAACAGGTTGACACTAGTAATTATGTTTACATGATTTATGAAGTGTGATGACATAATAATGCTGTTTTTCCCTAGAAAATAAAGCAAACATAAGTTCACACAAAGATTAGCAATATTATCAGCAAAACTAACTTTTTTGGGGGGGGCAGGGCATGCATGAGAAAAATACAGAATGATATTTTTTATCTGCATTTTATTGCCCTAAAACAAAGTAATCTTCATTAGTTTTATCATATGTTTGTTTTTAATGCTCTCAAATTTTAAGATAAGTATATCCCAGAATACACTATTGGTGCTATTTTAGCTGGCTATTTCTCATTATCAGACTTGGGAAGGCAGCATAGTATACTGTGGTGGTTTTTTTGAGACAGAATCTCACTCTGTCAACCAGGCTGAAGTGCAATGGTTCGATCTTGGCTTACTGCAACCTCTGCCTCCTGGGTTCAAGCAATTCTCTTGCCTCAGCCTCCTGAGTAGCCCGACTACTGGCAGGTGCCACCACACCCAGCTAATTTTTGTATTTTTAGTAGAGATGGGGTTTCACCATATTGGCCAGGATGGTCTTGATTTCTTGCCTTCACAATCCGCCTGCCTTGGCCTCCCAAAGTGCTGGGATTACAGGTGTGAGCCACCACGCCTGGCCTCAAAAAAAAATTTTTGTTTTAGCAGATAGAATAATTATCTTTAAACTGATTATAGGGCCGGGCGTGGTGGCTCACGCCTGTAATCCCAGCACTTTGGGAGGCCGAGGCGGGTGGATCACGAGGTCAAGAGATCGAGACCATCCTGGTCAACATGATGAAACCCTGTCTCTACTAAAAATACAAAACATTAGCTGGGCATGGTGGTGCATGCCTGTAATCCCAGCTACTGAGGAGGTTGAGGCAGGAGAATTGCCTGAACCCAGGAGGCGGAGGTTGCAGTGAGCCGAGATCGCACCATTGCACTCCAGCCTGGGTAACAAGAGTGAAACTCCGTCTCAAAAAAAAAAACAACAAAAAAACAAAACAAAAAAACTGATTATAGCACAGGTATAAGTAGAACATCTCTGATGAAAGACAAATGGGAATTCAGAGCCCACCATATTGCAGCCTCCTCTTCTGCTTCTTGAAAACTCGGGGGTTCCAGAAAGACTTAGACACTTCTGTTGTACTGGAAAACACATGGGGTTTTGAGTCCCGTATAGCTGGGTTTAAACCCCAGCTCTTTCCCTTGAGGGATGGTGTAATGGTGGGGGAGTTACTTAACCTCTTTGAGATTCAGTGACAAGTATCTGAGGGCGTTAAAATAGTAACAGTAACTAACATTATTGTTTATGATTGTCCTATGGACAGACTGCTCAATAAATGGCAACTTGCTTTACTTTGTTTAAATTTAAATGTAAAACAACTTGTCC